AATCAAAAACTTTTCGTTTACTCACGTTCGAGTGCCTTATTAATTTTTCATTTTAAACGTGGTTGGAAAACTGATTTAACAAAAAAACAATTGCAATTTGTAGGTAAAGACCGTTTGTTTTGGACATTTTATTAAACGGGTTTTTCCATATTTACCCAAAATTTCAAAAAAAGTTGACTTTTATAGTTAATTGTACATAGGCTATTCGATACACAAAATACAAACACCAGCCGAACAATGGCCATTTCACATTAGCAAGTGATATATTATTATTTATTATATTTAATTATTATATATTAATTATATAAAGTAATTTATTATATTATTTAGTTTTCAGTTTTCACAAACGTATAGAACCTATTGTTACGGTGCAACACAACATCTAAAACGGCCTTTCTCAAACCCACCAACGATCCGTACCGAATAGTAAACGAAACTACCGAAAAACCACTAACAAAACATCAGCCAATGGGATTGCGGGTTTTTACGAAAACAGCATAAATACCGACCGCAATCCACAATCAGCACAGTCTTCTTCCAACCATCCGGGTATCTTATACACTGGATAATTTGGAAGCCGACAACTACACTATCAACCGCCAGCGTCTACCAGCAGTAGCAAGCGACACCAGCAGTAACCACAGAGACTCAGCAGCAGCGGAACCGACAGGAGCGGCACCCGCAGCAGACGTGCCGACAGTTCACACGGCTCCACCGACGGTTCCACATCGCAGGCCGTCCTTCCTAAAATTACAGAGTCACTTATTAAAGTTGCGCTCTCCTCCCGGTGACTAGAGTCCGTAGGCGCTTATTCAAGCTGCCCTACTTTCCTTCTAGTCATCCCAATACATCCCCCACACATCTGTATCCCCTGTAGGACAATATAGTACCATAATTGTGAGGTACATAGTGCCCGTTTAACCCAGCGTGAGAGGCGAACTTATGCGAGTCCCGCCCTCACCGTTACTTATTGTATTACCTAAAACCTCTGAATAATAAAGAACAACCGTGATATCAAGCATCCGTTTTATTATTCAACACACGACACGGCAAGGCACCCGCCACCCGTATCAATTGGCGCCCAACGTTCAAGCTCGAACCCAGACCCCGGATCAATAGTCTCGCGCTCAAAATGACTGAGAAAATAGATGACGCATTCAAGAGAATAGACTCTTTGGAGTCATGGACGAAAAAAATTATCGCCTCCATCAAAGAGCTGGACGCGAACAACACCGAACACAAGAAAAGGACCGAAGAACTACAACAATTGTTAAACATGTCTGACACAAACTTAATTATTGAAAAGGCCAAAAGGGAATCTGAAGTTAGCTTACTCCAAAAGGAAATTGAACAATTAAGGGTATTGTGTCAGCAAAGAGCATCCAATACCACCAATAACGCCTCGGAACGAGTCATACCTGTCGAAATGACCCCACCAACATTTTATGGCAACGAGCGGGACATACACCCTAAAAAATTCATTAAAGAACTAAGAAGATACATTACACATCGAAAAGTAACTACGGAAGACCAGATTTTACTAGTAGTAGAAAACAGTTTACGCAACAAGGCAGCCAACTGGTTTAGCATAGTAAAAGACGCTTCTCCCGATCTTGACCAATTCGAAACTATGTTTTTAAAGAATTTTTTTTCGGAAAGCCAACAATGGGATATATTCATAAAATGTACGGAAGCTGGTAAAAAACCAATCCAATCCGGATTTCAAGGTCACTTCCATTACTGGATGTCCGAACTTAAGCAGTTAGACTTTCCAAAAATGGATGAAGAACAATCAATCAACCTTATCACCAAACATTTTCCGATATCCGTGCAGGCTTACATTCAGACTTGTCCAGAAAAAAAGTTCCTACCCATTTGGGAAAAATTAAAAGAAATCGAAACAAAGAGAAACGAAGGCAGAAGTGACCAATCAGTTCAAAACAATTTGCAGCGCCTAGGCAACTACAAACCAGACCAGAATCAGTCTAATCCACCGCCTAGTAACGTTAGGATTGAAGCTGGACAGAAGGACCGAAAAATTAAGCAGATAACGACCGAATATGACAAATTCAATGAAGAGGAGTCGGAAGAAATTGATCTTGAAAAAAACTCCTATCAGGGGATTGTGGACTAAGATCGCCCACAATCATAAACACCCCAGATCTTCGCGCAGACATAAAAAGTATTATCGCACTCCAGGATGTGATCGATCAAGCAGATGACACGTCCACAACTAATCTTAGGGAACTATGCGACAACGAGAACTTTGACTTCACTCCGCCAGTCAGTTTGAAGGAATGCCCTTATATTACTGGTCAAATAGTCGACAGAATAGACTTGCTTGTTGACATTGGAGCAGAAATAACTGTCATGTCGGAAGAGTGTTATAATGACAGATCAAAAAAAGCACCTGACATACCAACGCTCCCGATAACAGGACTAAGTATCCACCTAGCGGGCGAAGACAAACCAACTAAAATCCGAAAACAAGCACTCATACCGTTGAACCTAGACCCACACAGGAAACAAATTCCATGCACAGTGGTTGGCCAGTTAAACGATGGCGGGACTTTAGAAAGTGATTTTTTAAGAAATCACAAGGCGGTTATCGATTACGGCAAAGAGCAAATTATTTGTGAATACAACGGTAAAGAAATAAGCATACCATTTTCAAATACTTCAGGAAAACCAACGTCTCCATTACACATGATAGCAAGAAAAGTAATGACAGAACCACGGGTGAAAAAACCACCAGATAGATTTCTGGCGGCCGTGAAAAATTACGGACATTATCAATGTGTGTCCGTTTTCTGATAATATAAAACAAGGGCTACGGCAAAGAGCGAATCGGAACGCCAAATCAGGCTAGCAAACAGAAAACTTTGCCACATATATATAAAAAAATAAATAAAATACAAAAAAAAATCAACATCAAGTCGTCAAACTGCAAAATGCCGTCAAACATGCAAAACAAGACAATGAATTTGTGTACGAACTGTTCGATACAAGATCCAACACCCGGACACAAATGCGGGGGGTACTGTTACGGTGCAACACAACATCTAAAACGGCCTTTCTCAAACCCACCAACGATCCGTACCGAATAGTAAACGAAACTACCGAAAAACCACTAACAAAACATCAGCCAATGGGATTGCGGGGTTTTTACGAAAACAGCATAAATACCGACCGCAATCCCACAATCAGCACAGTCTTCTTCCAACCATCCGGGTATCTTATACACTGGATAATTTGGAAGCCGACAACTACACTATCAACCGCCAGCGTCTACCAGCAGTAGCAAGCGACACCAGCAGTAACCACAGAGACTCAGCAGCAGCGGAACCGACAGGAGCGGCACCCGCAGCAGACGTGCCGACAGTTCACACGGCTCCACCGACGGTTCCACATCGCAGGCCGTCCTTCCTAAAATTACAGAGTCACTTATTAAAGTTGCGCTCTCCTCCCGGTGACTAGAGTCCGTAGGCGCTTATTCAAGCTGCCCTACTTTCCTTCTAGTCATCCCAATACATCCCCCACACATCTGTATCCCCTGTAGGACAATATAGTACCATAATTGTGAGGTACATAGTGCCCGTTTAACCCAGCGTGAGAGGCGAACTTATGCGAGTCCCGCCCTCACCGTTACTTATTGTATTACCTAAAACCTCTGAATAATAAAGAACAACCGTGATATCAAGCATCCGTTTTATTATTCAACACACGACACGGCAAGGCACCCGCCACCCGTATCACTATTGGTATCGTCACTGTCCGTGTATTTTAAATCCAGTGCCGCGGAAACGTGTGGAGCCCATATCTACCTACTTTCAGATAACATAGTTTTAAACGACGCGCCACAATCTACGGGTTTTTTATTTTTTTTTTTTTTTAAAACGCGTCCATCCCTCCCGTCGGACAAACCGGATAGAAAATAATAATTCCTTTACACACCGCGTTCTACAACCTAACAAACTCATATGGACTATAACGCGGCCGCCGCCGCCGACTACTTCCCGCGCGCGCCAAAAATACATTTCACACTATGCCTAACGCTATACCGACCCGTTCATCGTCTACCGCCACCGCCTATTCTTTTACCCGCTTTTTTTTTTTAAATATAAATAATACTTCAATAAAAACGGTCGTTGGGAATTTTCAACATTAATCTAAAAATGTAAGTAACAACATTCTCGGGGGGATACCCACGACCGTCGATAATAATAAAACTGTTGTATTAATTTTATCAACAGCGCGGCGCCCGCTGTAAGGTCGATAGAGAAATAATTGTAACGCATGTAGTGGCCCTGAAAAGGGCCGTTTTAAAGAGGATTTGTAGAGTATTGAGACGATTAAGCACGTTCTCCGCGAATACGGCGAGCCAACTGGATGTCCTTGGGCATGATGGTAACACGCTTGGCGTGGATAGCGCACAAGTTGGTGTCTTCGAACAGACCGACCAAGTACGCTTCGCTGGCTTCTTGCAGAGCCATGACGGCCGAGCTCTGGAAACGCAAGTCGGTCTTGAAGTCTTGGGCGATCTCACGGACCAAACGTTGGAACGGCAATTTGCGGATCAACAGCTCGGTGCTCTTCTGGTAACGACGGATTTCACGGAGAGCCACGGTACCGGGACGGTAACGATGGGGTTTCTTCACTCCTCCGGTCGCCGGTGCGCTCTTGCGGGCGGCTTTGGTGGCCAACTGCTTCCTGGGAGCCTTGCCTCCGGTAGATTTGCGGGCGGTTTGCTTGGTACGGGCCATGTCGGTAGTTCGTAGACTGTCTGTGAAAACTCGAAACGGTCGAATATGTCTCCGCACACCGAATGAGCTCGTATATATACAAATTCGGATCGTAGGCGCGAGTTCTCATTGGTCGACGGAACGGCCTGCCGGAATAGAGGGAGATCTCGCGATACCGCGCCGTGATTGGTCCGCGCGACGGCCCGATCATATAAATACGGCGCGAAAACGTTGTCCGGGCATCATTCGATTTGTTTCTTCAGTCTACCGCAGCTCTCCGAACGACAATCAGCAACAATGACCGGACGCGGCAAAGGAGGAAAAGGTTTGGGAAAAGGAGGCGCCAAACGTCATCGTAAAGTGCTCCGGGACAACATCCAAGGAATCACCAAGCCGGCCATTCGTCGGTTAGCCCGCCGCGGTGGTGTCAAACGTATCTCCGGCCTGATCTACGAAGAGACCCGCGGAGTGTTGAAGGTGTTCCTGGAAAACGTAATCCGCGACGCCGTCACCTACACCGAGCACGCCAAGAGGAAGACCGTCACCGCCATGGACGTGGTCTACGCTCTGAAACGCCAAGGCCGCACTCTGTACGGATTCGGAGGTTAATTCCCGACGACCGTTCGCTTTGCACCCTACCTACTGTTCTTTAAAACGGCCCTTTTCAGGGCCACCATTTTATATTATTACAATTATTCATTAACGTTTATGTCATTTAATGCAATTCGCAGTCGGCTACATGAGTACGCTAATATAATAGTGTGTGTCATGTGACTGGATGCGCAAAATAGTTATATTATGAAGTATACCGTATAAACTAACAAAACGTTATAGCGTATTGCCATTATAATAATATAAATACACACGAGTAGTTTTAACGGTATACATTTGTAATTGTTCAAATTAATATTTTTTATAGTACATACAGACTATTATGTTCTCTGTAACATACATGCTAGTTGACATAAAAAAATAAAACAAACTAAATGTATAATTTATTAAAAAAAAATATAACATACTAATTGTATATTTGTATATTACACAATTAGTAGAATCGCACGTGGGTAATATACGATTTTTATAACTATAGCCCATTGGTAAAATAGACATATATGATATAGTACTAATTTATTATCACAATAATATAATATTGCAAGTCATTGATCTAAATCTATTATATCTATTAATATCGATGACATTATTATTGAAGAGACAATATTTCGATATTAACCAATGATGTTATCATTGTAGTGCCGGCTGATGTTGTAGCTAAATAGCAAACTGGAATGTTGGAAAAAAAAAATTATTTATTTATATTATACTTGAATATTATTTCCAGTTTGAGTTATAGTCATATTTTATAAATTGTTATTGACCTAAAGAAAAAATTAAAGTAGATTTGCTGAAATTCCAAGTTACGGTTGTTTGAATTACTTATATTTTCTAAGGCTTGACAAAATAATACAACGCCACACATCATTTATGTCGAAAACAACAAGAGTGTTGTAAAAATAGTTAATATTTGGTGGCCCTGAAAAGGGCCGTTTTAATATGTATAAATACGGCGACGACGTTCTTAAGCTTTCTTTTCGGTCTTCTTGGGCAAAAGGACGGCTTGGATGTTGGGCAGCACACCACCTTGGGCAATGGTGACGCCGGACAACAGTTTGTTCAACTCCTCGTCGTTCCTGATGGCCAACTGTAAATGTCTGGGGATGATACGGGTCTTCTTGTTGTCACGGGCGGCGTTACCGGCCAACTCCAACACTTCAGCGGCCAAGTACTCCATGACGGCGGCCAGGTACACGGGAGCGCCGGCACCGACGCGCTCGGCGTAGTTGCCCTTCCTCAACAGACGATGGATACGACCGACCGGGAACTGGAGTCCGGCACGGGACGACCGGGTCTTCGATTTGCCGCTCTTTGCTTTTCCTCCTTTGCCGCGTCCGCTCATGATGCTCGATTGTAGATTGTCGTGTAGTGAAACGAGAGAAAATCCAGACGATACTGATGATCGGAACAGGCCAAAATCGGTATTTATACACTTTTAAGACGTAAATGCGTCTGTATGTTGGCCTACGTTTGAAAATAACGACGACGAAAAACCACACTTTGTAGACATAAACGTTCAATGCAAAGTGTTGTTTATACTCGTCGTGTTTTTCTTTGATGCTTAGACGTTGACGATGAAAAAACGGCACATTGTAGGGTTCGCTTTTAAACACAAAGTGTTAATCTTACTCGTCGTTTTTTCGTCGACTCTTACAAATCGTACTCGATAAACGAAGTCGCGACGCGTAATAAATATGAGCGTAAACGATTTTCGAACCATCATTCGTCCACCAGCTACCGGCCAACTATTTCGACGACCCGCAAACCGTGTACAACCGCAGTCACTATGGCACCAGGAGGTAAATCCGCAGGCAAGGCCATGAAGAAGTCCGGCAAGGCGCAGAAAAACATCACCAAGTCCGACAAGAAGCGCAAGCCGAAGAGGAAAGAATCGTACGGTATTTACATCTACAAGGTGTTGAAACAAGTGCACCCCGACACCGGCGTTTCCTCCAAGGCTATGAGCATCATGAACAGCTTCGTCAACGACATTTTCGAACGCATCGCCGCCGAATCCAGCCGTCTGGCCCACTACAACAAGCGTTCGACCATCACCAGCCGGGAGATCCAGACCGCCGTCCGTCTCCTGTTGCCCGGTGAATTGGCCAAGCACGCCGTCAGTGAAGGCACCAAGGCCGTGACCAAGTACACCAGTTCCAAATAAGCATTTCGATATTAGTCGCGCGCTATATCCACTTAAAACGGCCCTTTTCAGGGCCACCAAATTATTATTCTGATACACGTTATTATATAATAATATTATTATTATTCGTAGTGTATCCTATTTAAGTTATTAATATCTGGGGTTTTTAATTTTTATTGACAATATCACCGACCGGACGACCGCCGTGTGTGTTATCGTCTTTTGTATCATTATATTACGTTTGTCGTCGGTTAGTACTACGACGTGTATTTTATTTGTACATTCGGCGAATTTTTTCACATTACATTACTAAAAATATAAATTCACTACACAAATTAGAAAAAAACGGGAAAACAATATTAGCTATAGATAACACTTAAATTAGCTATATATGTATATAACAGCTTTATTAACTAAAATAAAATACAACAGTGATCTGCTCACTCGAGTTAATTGCATAACGACACAGTTTACTGGCAGAGTATAATATTATTGCATTTGAATATATTATATTTTTAGGGCCCGGGACTTGTACCGAATGGTCTGAAAAATAGATCTGACTGCAGTATAGTTCTTAAAGACCAACGTATTTTAGCAAATAAGCAATTAAACGTAGGCCAAACAATCAAAACAAAACTATACAAAATTGTCTACACAGTAAAAATGTCAATAATGTTTATCATTTAAGGCCGCCCAAATTACTTTGTCGGGGGCACTCTCCCGTAATAGACCGTTTTATTACCAGGAGGGTATTGTCGCGCGCATTATTGTTTTTACGAATATTATAATTGTGTGTGTGTTTATTAACTTTTGAGTTACTTTTCTTTTACTTAATTTAAAAGTGTTACCTTTTCTCCCGTCGGTTTTAAGTGTGTGTGTGTGTGTTTAACGGTTCGTGTACCAAAGTGCGTATACGACACTGACAAGTTACAATTTTTAATTACATTTTAAAGAATCGAACATTTTTTTTTTTTTGTATATTTTGGGATTTTTTTATTCTTGGGCAGGTGGGTACTCAAATGTTTTATTATTTTCGATAATTGCGTCATATTTTAAAATTTTGTTTATTTAAAAGTGTTAAATTTATTTTTTATAAAAACTATTTTTATTTAAGTTTTGCGGTTACAACTAGTATGAACATAATATTTAAAAAATACAAGTTATATTTAAAAATAAGTAGAAAATAAATTTCGAGTGCATATTTGGGGTTTTATTGAACAATTTACAGATAGGTACAATATAAAAAAAGCGATTATGAAGTACGTTTGTATGTGAGTATGTATGCATGTATGTATGTATGTATGGATGGTGTGTACGTCAACAGATATTGCTTTTAGAATTGATCGATATCGAGACGGTTTTTCGTGTACAGTTTATCATATACGACTATAGTACACAAGTATTTGAATTTGAATACAAATTTACAATGAAATACAAATGAATACAACGACGTGGGTCGTTCATTCAGCTCGTTTGTTTTTGTCCTGTTATCTATATCTCGCGTGTGCCGTTTAACGCACAGCGCAGCGGCCGCGTCTGTTGTTATTTTCCGTTTTTAATCAGTCAGGTGAATTTGTAATATTTCATAATTATTGTTATTTTGATATATTTAAAGTTTTGTTGTGGGCATACAGCCATACTTGTAATTATAAGTCAATTAGGGTTTAGGGCTGGCCAGACAGTCTTAAGTATTGTCAAATCAATTAAATGTTATTATCTGCAATAGTCAATCATTTTCCTAAATATACATACAACAATAAACGTATTTACCCATGTTGTAGTCGTTTTAACTTTTTCATTCCATTTCACAATCACTATTACTTACTGTAGTTTGTATTACTATAATCTATAAAATATCGGTACGAGACACCGCGCGACACGCTTGTTGTGTATATTGTATTATATAAATATTTGGTGGTCCTGAAAAGGACCGTTTTAAGGGTTTAAGAGAGTGTTTTTAACAAATTACGCCTTCTTTTTGGGCGCAGCCGTCTTCTTGACTGCCACCTTCTTCGCCTTGGGTGCCTTGGCTTTGGTGGCCGGCGCTTTCTTAGCCTTGGCCGGAGACTTTTTCGGTTTCGCGGCTTTGGGTTTAGGCGCTGCGGCTACCTTTTTCACCTTCTTGGCGGCGGGTTCGCCGGATTTCGGTTTCTTGGCACCGGTGCTCTTCCTCTTCTTGGCCGCTCCGGGCGCCTTGGACACCGCCGCTTTCTTGGCGATCGGCTTCTTTTTCGGCGCTACCTTCTTCTCTTTTTTGACTTCGGCGGCCAATTTGAAATGGCCCGACGCTCCGTTGCCCTTGGTCTGGACCAGCTTGCCGCTGGCGACGGCCGACTTTAGGAATTTGCGGATGAAAGGCGCTAGCTTGGCAGCGTCCACTTTGTAGTTGGCGGCCAAATATTTCTTGATAGCCGGCAACGACGATCCTTTTTTCTCCTTCAGTTCCTTGACGGCTGCGATCACCATCACGGCCGTGGTAGGATGAGCCGGTGCGGCTTTCTTCGCCTTGGGAGCGGCGGACTTCTTTTTCGGCGACTTGGCCTGGGCCGGCGACGAGGCGGCTGGTGCTGGTGCGGCGACTGCGGTGTCGGTCATGGTGAAGCGGTTTGAAAATAGACTCTGGTACTCTGGCAAAATGAACAGGAACGGTGTGTATAACTCGAGTTTGGCCGTCACACCGTCTATATACTCGTCGCCATACCGACTAGTAAACGCTTACGGAATCGAATTTTCCGTTTTGACGTGATCCCGTTCCGTTTTATCTCGTTTTTTCCGCTCGAAAATCACTCAACGGCGATAAATCTCGTTCTCCTTAAAGCCAACGTTATAGCAAATCCGTCGGTCGGTCGAGTTTTCACTTAAAATCGACGGCCGACGTGCCGCAGGAGGTTGTTCCGACCAGTCCGACTATTCAACGATACACCTCTTTCGAGGTCGATTAGGACTCGTTAATTTCGAGTTAAACTAAAAAATCTTTTCGATTCGCAATCTGC